AAAAGCTCAATGATATCGGTATTGGCAGGTTGTATACAATATGTTGAAATCATATCTAACCAAATCGTCGTCACGTTGTTAAGGTCGGGCAGAGTATGAATAAACCTAAAAATATTACATACGGTATACCGCAAGGGTCAATTATGGGCCCATTGCTGTTTCTTATATATATTAATAATATACATCAATTAGGACTACAACGTGACTTGAATTTATATGCGGATACATCGTTATTTTATTTTGGCCACCAAATTGTCACTATGATTGCATATGCACCTTAAACGGTTGAATGAGTGGTTTCTCAGTCACTTTTTAACCAATAATACTTCTAAAACTAACTGCATTATTTTCTCGGCTAATAACTAAAAAAAAATACAAATTTGCCATCTCTATTAATAATGAAAAAATAATCAAGTAAATCAAGAAAAAGGACCTAAGCCTGATTCTGGATAAACATCTCACATGGAAACTGCATATACAAAAACTAAGAAATAAACTTGTCTGTTTGTCAGGAATGTTACATTTCGATTGTCTTACGTCAACTTAAAAAATCTACAAGGAAAACAAAATCATGACTGTTCTATAGGCATACAAATATAATAACTGTATACTTATAAGAAAAATACTAACTAATAATATACATACGCAAAAAATATTACTAAAAAAAAAATGTATATAGAATCGGTCTTAAGAGTACCGATAATATATTTCTGTTAAAATCACGAACAATTTATAGGTAGGTGTATTGTGTATGAAGATGCTAAAATCTATAATCAGCTGCCTAATGTGGTAAAAGATGCGAAAAATTTGCAAATGTTAAAAAAATATTAAAGTTTCACATCATTGATAAATAACACAAGCATAAATAAACTTTTTATAAATAATAGTGTTTATATATTTTATTGCATAAATTATAAGTTTATATATTTGTGTGAATATATTATCTTCGTTTTTTAATAAAAAATAATACTACATGCCCCAATGTTAATATATTAATATATTTATTTATGAATCTAAATCAATCAACGCAATAAAAAAAAATGGACAATGTTAACAAATAAGATACATAATATAATAAATAATCAACGAAATATGTACTAAGTTCACTGTATTATAAAATTTTATACTTAATTACTTTAACTAGCAGATAATAGTGCAAAATATGTTAAAGTAAATTGTAGTGTGTACAAACCTTTTTGTCACTTCTAGGCACGCTCGATCGCTGTATTTAATGCTAACGTGGTTGAACAAATGTTTGGAATACATAATGTTTTTAAGTTACCCTTACTATAATTGTGTAAGAATTTGTTTTGTATTTTGTTTCTAAAACTTTTTTTGAAATCTATGAAACTGTAATTTGTTTTTCTCATGTAAATGAATAGTTAATGTTACTTCTTTGTGAGAAATAAATGATCGTAAACCTGAAAAATACTATGCGAAAACCCAACACATGTGTTTTTAATTTATTTATTTAAAAATATTCCATAACGCAAGATGAGTTCACACTTTTCGTAACAATACTGACTGACTAACTAACAAAAAAAAGTAGGTTAAACAAAATGATTTACTTAGTTATTTTCGACGCTTTAGTCAGAAACGGTTAACTTAGAGAACGACCTAATGTTACCTTTTTTATTACGAGTTGTTGTAAGTAAATAGGTGTACACATATAATATAAAACACATAATATGTACAGCAGGCATACAACATAGCCCAAACTTTGTACAAATAACGCTTACGTTACGAGGATACCGCAATAATAGTGACAATATCAAGAAAATAGCTATCCATGAAATAACTTAAATTGCAGTGGCAAACTACAACGCCCTCCTTCATTACTAATAAAACTCTTGTAAATTCATCAGTGAAATAAAAAAGTGCTGCAATATAGCTCACGTCTAAAACGACGGCTTTATAGTCATAGTTATGGCCCAATAAAGGTAATAGAGCAGTAGTCTCTCACGCGAAAAATCCCCTTCCACGTAAATGTAAGTAGGTAAATGTTCCGTATTCACTAGTAAATTTTCTTTTACAATGTGTTGACTTTTCATGCAGTGTGTTGGAAAGTTACGTAATGTAAAACATAAGGAAAAATTGAACCATAAACACAAACAACAACACTGTAACTTGATAGTCCAAGTTATGGCTGAATAAACGCAATAAGTCCCCTTTCATTCGTTTCAAAATTCTAGTGGCATGTATCGTTCGCTCTATTTTCTCTCTTTTTTTATATGTGCGCATAGTACAGTGCGCTTCTAAGTTTATTATGCAGCCATAATTAGAGTCCAATTATGTTGTTAAAGTTATTATCTATCGGCCAGATTTTTGTATAGTACTTCAAGTAATTTTTTGTTAAACCAAAGATGTTAATACAAAACCTACTAACCTGCTAACTTGTTATTATTGTTGTTAAATAACATTTGGTTCTAACACCGACCGAATGGCGTAGTGGTTTGTGTAACGGACTGCTTTCCAAAGGTCGCGGGTTCGATTCCCGCTGAAGTCAAACATTTGTGTGCATGAACATTTAATGTTTGATTTGGTCTGGGTGTTTCTATGTATAATAAGTATTTATATCAGTTGTCTAGTACCTATAGTACAAGCTCTGTTTAGTTTGGGACTAGATGGCCTTGTGTGAATGTGGTGCAATATTATTTATTCATTTTTAGTTACGTTGAACAATCAATCAAGCAGTTAAAACTTACAGTGAAATAGTGAAAATAGCAATTAAGTAAATTAATATTTCTACAATGGTTGATTTAATCAAAAAATATGCATGCGTTAAAAGGTATTTTATAATTTTTCATTGCACTGTTATAAATCTGCCTAAATTCAATTCCATTACTCGCTGAAACTATAAACATGTACCTTTAGTTGCTAACGAATAGAATAGCTCTTCAAAAATTTAATATTGTCACGCACATCGTGAAAGTTCAATTAACCGCGTAATCCGGGAATCGTTTAATAATAATAATAACAATTTAACGTTGGCACGGACCAATAAGTTTTATACCAATACACACAAGGTCCAAACGAATTTGTATTTTTCAGAAGCGGACGGTTCTCGTAGGGATCGGAAATTGCTGGAACGTTCCTTTACGAGTATTATAAATACGGACACGTCTTCGTTGGAGTCAGTTCAGTTCGAGCTACAGTGCGATAAACATTAAAGCGATCAAAGTGAATAGAAATGTGATTCCGGCCTATTCTCCAGTGTTGTTGATTGTTTTTAAGTGTAGTATAATAAACTATCTTTAGTCGTCTAAAGGTTTATTTTTCCAAATCAACGAACCCTAACACGTAACAATATTACAAGTGAATTTTAATATGCATGCATATATATTATGGTCTAATAACAACACATGATAAAGTATCTCTAGTTTTTTTATGGTATAAGGGGCAAACAAGCAAACATGTCACCTGGTGGTAATTTGACTATATCCGCTCATGTCTCTCCCACGGTAAAAATATATAAGACATTTACAGAAGATCACTATACAATAACAATGACTGGTAATCACGTTTTGATTGTTCTTTCCGAAGCGCGAACGTGCTTGAAAAAACGTGACACTACTAATAACACGAGAAAATCATGGTCGAGTATAGTTATTAAGTAACTAGTTCTTATTTATTGTGTACCGCATAAAATTGAGGTAATTTCTTATCCTTAAATACGAGCAGAAAATCACCTATGACGTAATACGAGAATAATATACAGACATGTTATTATATGGGAACAAACACCACGGGAGCACTGATGTCTAAGACACAGTTATTATATCTAGTTTAGTAATTTTATGGTTATTAACAATAGTACAAATTATATAAGCCTTATTTCTGTTATAATGTTCAACTTTATAAAGAAACAAAACATTATGATTATCTTGTAATTATCTTCATGTATAATTGTTGAGTTGTAGTGTTTCCTATTTAGAGTATTAGTACGTGCCCCTATCTCGTGGTTGATTTGCGATTCCAAACAGGCTCGAAGCGCGACCGACGGTGACGTCCTGACTTCCGTCTGAACTTTGCTCGACAACAAAACCGACTTGTTATGCCGTCGGTTGTGTTCGGGTTGAGTCTTTGAACGCGAAGGTAAGGTTTCCACGGAATGAGATACCATATTACGTTATGCTATGACCATCGCCTTTGAATATTACATATTTATGAGACCGGATATTTTTTGATATGAAATAATAAGAACCAAAACAGAGTTAGAAACTAAATTCACTAGTATTGTTGGATCTGAGTGCGTTTCAGTAGTAATTATGTAACGTAATGGTATAATGTAGATAGGTAGTCATTTCATTTTCTTTTAAAAAGTATGCGATACTAAATTTGACAAGTAAATAAATTCAACCGTGTAACTAAATTATAACAGAAAGAATATCAATTGTGACGCCAGATATTAAGACTGTATTTTATTAATAAGCAGAGATTAAATCGTACCCCTGTTGAGCTAAACTTGAGAGTAATCCTTCACAAACCTGTATTTTGAAGTCAATTGCGAAATATAGAGACACATCTACACCTTATCTTCTATACAAGGCCCTTTCAGGTACGTTAAGGTTCCCTGTTAGTTAATAGGCGAACGTTAAAGCCCCGACCTCGTAAAACATCGGTACGTGAGCCGCCAAATAATTTAATCTCGCTTCTATTTCGACCAAACACTGTCAGCCGAGACGAATTTCGCCTGAATCTTAATATAGAGAGCCAGAAAATTTTGCTTGTGACTTTGCAAAACATTTATTACAAACCAGGTGTGTCCCACAACTTTATTTATATATGTTTATTGCTTCACTCTTATGCGAGATGGCGTGAGGGAAGTATCTTACTAACAATAAACGGGGATCTTACATAGAAATATACTTCCGATGGCGATTAAACTCGGGTAACTAAGGAAGCTTACGCAATTAAAAATATATCTACTCTGTATGTAGTTTTACCGTTTAGTGATGAGTAACCTGCATGATTTTACTTATATAATGCCAGCAATCATAATGTACACTGTACGTGTCCGACATAACACTCCGCCAGTAGGTGGCATTTCCGCACAGAATAATAAGGAGTATTGTATGTGTCTTTTTCTAGGTGTTCTAAAATCACATATCACATGTTTTGGTTAATAAACCCAAATTGTAATATATTTGTGGACGAACGGGTGTCATATCCCTCCAACACAAAGGGAGGATCCTACGACCAGGCGAGGTGATCATACCTGGCGGGCCGCGACCCAACGGTTGGTGTTGGGAAGTTGTATAAGTACTAATCGGCGAGAGAATTCTTCATATCGCGATACCGGATTAGCAATTCTCATTCAGGAGTTACTCCGTAGTTTGGTGTGACTTCAATAGATGGCGATGTTTCTGTTCTTTTGTATGTGGGTGTCGCCACATATTTATTGCAACCAAATCTTGAATCGTATTTAAACTTGAAGAGACATGATGAGGGTAGTAAAATTAAATCTGTCGAATCTTCACGGAAGAAATAAATAGAAGTTAGTAAATCAATCAATGATGGGGAGGGTTTAAATTACTAAATTTTATAAAAAAATGTTAAGTTGGTTTGTATACCCTTCAAAAAATTAAAAAAGTTCTGCACCGATTTTTTTTTTTTTTTTTTAAAAGACAACTCCCGCATTAGGAATATATCCTGTGGCGCGCGGGACTTTACAAACATACATGAAACGGACACAAAGAACACCCAGACTCAGAACAACAATTAGTGGATCACACAAAGTGTCGTCCCATGTGGGGTTTGAACCCACAACACTCGGCGTAGTAGGAAACGGCGTGGCGACCACTTAAACCACTACGCCATCCGTGCAGTCAAATTGATTGATTGAGCTCAAAGTTTGACTCGATGTACAACCCGCTTCAACGTGCGTGATAACTGACCATACTGGTATTTCGTTAAATAAAAGTTATATGATTTAGTAGTAGACTTGAAACAATTGTAGAATAAATCTGGAAATTTGTAAAAAATATTTAAAAAACTACAGTTCTTAAAGTGCGGTCCCTCAGTTCTCACAGATCATCAGCCAGATCTCGGCAAATATACGAAAAATTAAGATATTGTGACTACAGACATTTAGTGAAGGATTTGTAAAGATATTTACTAAATAACAGACCACAAACCATCAAAGATAAAAAAAATAACGACTAAACTGTGGTCCCTCATTCCGCAAAAGAAAGATTAATATTTTAGTGAATATTACCAAATCAAATGAATAAATTCTTTCTATTTCTACATGAAGATTTAGTAAGAGTCTTAATACATTTTGTAAAAAAGAAATTAAATAAAAATATTGACGCAATTCGAGGAGAGCGACTATTAAAACTGTACATATACTAGCTTGTTTACGAGAGAAATATCAAAAGTCTAGTTTATTTAACATTTAGTAAAATGTTTGTACTAAATAATAGGGATTTAAAAGTATATATTTCTTGCCTCTTAGTTGAGATACTACTATTTTTTTAATCCTATGAAAGTAAACAGAGTAGTGTGACCACACAATGAAACAAAACGAACAGTTCTATTATGCTATATATAAATAGCTATAGCAGACAACATGCACATGCTGTCATGTTATTATAACTGCGTATTGGAAACAGAACGTATAGAATAAATAAGGTATCCTAGGTTTATCCCCCTTGTTCTACCCTGAGATAGGGCCTGATTAGGCATGGTGTCAATTCGGGGAGGACCTGAAATAACATGGTCCGGGTCCTCCCCAGAGTAGTTTTTAGTGGAATCACCACATACTCCTGGCTCCTGAGTCCCCGAGGAGCCGGAGATCCGAAGGGATTTTCCACCCCGTCAAAAAAAAAAAAATTTATCCCCCTTTCCTTTGGACCACACCGTCATATGCGGACTATCTATTAGAAAAACAACTTATAGCCTGAAGAATGCACTAATCCATATAAGAACCGTAATATTTTAATTCAGTTACAAATTTAGTAAAAACATGCAAAGTAATGATTACAATGATAATAACAAGCCATAAAAGTGTTCTACATAAAAATTGTAACGGTACCTTATCGGTCCTATTGCTGTTTTAACGCCCTTCAGAGGCGGATCGGATCGCGTGCTCTCGATTTATTAAAGTCAGTAAAATATTTACTGAAAATAGTACTGCCCTCTAAGGTACTAATTCAGAAAAGCAATAGGAATAAATTACTGTGCCTAATGTTTCATACTGTAAAACCTTCAACGGCCCTTGATTGTTGCGCAGGAAATAAACTCGCGATAAGGCTCGGATAGTTTTGCTAGGTCGTTACGAAATTCGAATAGCCTTCGCATAAATGTCATTTAGGGGAAATGTAGACTTGCCGTGTATAAAAATTGTTATTAAGTGCTCCCTTACCCTCTGCTAATAAAAGAGATTTTCTTTAGATAACGGGCAATACCTATCTTTTGTTAATATATTTACTCTGTCTATTATAGCTCGGGCTTATTCAGCGCTGTTGTTTGCAATTTATGTAAAACAGTTACTGTTTATCATTTCAAGAGTAAAGTTTTATGAACTTTTTACAATTTATTAGGGTTCTGTACCCAAAGGGTAAAACCCTATTACTAAGACTCCGCTGTCCGTCCGTCCGTCTGTCACCAGGCTGCATCTCATGAACCGTGATACTTAGACAGTTCACAGACCAGACAAACAGACAGAAACTTTCACAGTTGACGTATTTCTGTTGCCGCCTTAACAACAACAGAATAAAATAAATATTTAACGGGGGCTCCAATACAACAAACGTGTTTTTTTTTTGCTCGTTTTTGCTCGATATTGATAACGGCAACAGGGAGACGTTTTAAAAATTCACCGAATATTTAGCTGTTTTTATTCTAAACCTACCTTACCTTACCTACATACCTTTCGTGCGCGAGTCCCGAGTCGCGCTTGGCCGGTTTTCTTAAGTTAGTTCATAATAATTAAATGGTTACATTTGTTGTTTCAGATTGGTTCACTGAAGAACTATTATTTGCTGTCACATCACGAAATCCACAAGCGATCTACGGAGCCGAGCCACAAACACCACCTCAAATTAAATGACGAACCACAGGTAAAAGCTTGTGTCTGATATTTCTTTCGCCTTATTATGATATGATGTCATAAATATCCTGCCAAACATGCTTATAATTAAATGAAAAATAGATTTTTTTTATGGAAAAGAGGCTCTAGTCCCTAGTAAATATGAGAAGCATAGCTCGTATGGAAAAGGCATAACTCTCCCACGATAAAAATAGAGATATCATTTTTACGTAAGAATCGCTTTTTATGTGCTGATCTATGTACCACAAATCTGTTACCGTAAGAGGCGGTTCACCTAACCTGTTGGCATGACATACCTGATTAGTTTTTAGGGTTCCGTACCTCAGAAGGTAAAAAAGGAACCCTTATAAGATCACTTTCTTGTCCGTCAATCAAGGTCCTGAGTCAACACGATAAAAAGTAATGTTCGATTTTCGATTTTCGCGAAATTTACCTTAATTTTCAACGGTTTTTATTTTTCAGAATTTTCTCTTTACTTGTGCTGTAAACCCTTGCTTTTAACCAATATTGACAATTCTAGGTCAACCGGAAGTACCCTCTAGGTTTTGGGTCGAAAACCTATGTATATGATCGTTTACCTAGAATCACGAAATTTGGCAAAAATAAACGTCTTACAGCACAAATAAAGGAATAATTCCAAAAATAAAAAAGTAGAAAATTAAAATAAATTTTGGTACTTACAAATTAATAAATATAATAATTTAATCTACGTAACATCTGGGTAGGTACGGAACCCTCGGCGCACGAGTTCGGCTCGTACCTGACCGGTTTTTTTATTAACCTAAATTTTAATAAATTTATTTCTTTGAATACATATCATCTCTGTATCATTTCAAAGATAAGATCTTTGAATAGCTTCTTTATTTACTCATACTCTGACCAACGGAATGTCAACATTCTGATAATCATATTTACAAATGTAATAGAGAAAACCGTCCAGCTTCATCCAAACTCTTGTCCTCGAAGTAAATATTTCACGAGCATAATGGTGCGTGAGTCGCTAGGGTGCACAAGTAGGCGAGTATTCGTATGTTAGTGGTATTGTCAAAAGTTCTCCGCCTACCCAACCCTTCTGCTAATCCGCGACCTCACTTAATCTTTTTGTCATCCAACGCGCGCATACTACGTTCCCATCACTTTATCTTGTTCCACTTGCACAATATGTTTCCGCGTTTTGGTAATTCCACCCTATTTCTATATGCATCACTCCAAATCCAATTTTGTATACGCTTACGTTATGTATGGGTTTACATAAAATTTTAAGATTATAAAGACGATTCGTAATAGGGTACAATTTCTTTTGAGATGACAACGCGGAGGCAGCTCAGTCCGGACGTCGTAACATTTTTATGGTTTGCTTTGTGTAAGATGAGTGTTTTTCTCGACTTTTTATACTTGAGTAGAACAAGGATTCAGATTTTGTCCTACTGATATAAGTATCATGTAATTGGGTATACTGTCAAGACCTTCTTTATTCAAACTTTTGCGTTTTCCATCAAACATTTATGAAGCGTTTTAGAAAAATAAAATTGCTCCTACGTAATATAATTTATATATTTATCTACCATCTCTTAGCTTGCGCTTTAATACCTTTTAATGTTAATCAAAACATAAATCCTTTGTGTAAAAGATATCCGAAATTGCTTTTCGTGTTTTCTTTCAGTCTCTTTTCATTAATTAATTTATCTAGTGAAATTAAATTGGTAGGCCTGATTATGCTTTTGTGTTTAATTATGTTTTGTCTTTTGTAGGAATTCTGCTAATTCTACATTTAGCAATCCCGTAGGTGTTGCATGATACAATTCCTTTTTATATAGATTATCTTTGTTTTTCATGTTGTGTGATCTTTTCAGATCTTCTTTACACTAAATAACTAAACCTCTCATTACTTATTTTATCAGTGTATGTCTATCCAATGTCTAAATATTTGAGAAACATCTCCAATGAGCGTCAATTTACGAACGATATCTTTATCTGTAACTATATATTTCGTTCAGCGAAAAAGTTTCCTGTAACAGTATTGACCCAGAAAATCCTCAGTGTAACAGATAAACTAGTGGATTGTGGAGATAACGCATCAAAAACTTATTACTTAGACCCATTCGGATTATAGGCTTTTTTCTTTGATGTAGCCCCGTAGTGCGTGACAAAGCAAAGAGGGCGAAATATCAGCAATCTACATTAGTCGCGGGGTAGCACGTTCCCTCTGGCTTTTTGGATTTTTTTAAGAACAACGGAACTTATAGCTATCGTAGCATCGTGTTTGTATCTTGGTATCTAGGCAAAATGGCTTCTTGAAATTCTATCCTTAACGTCATCCAACGAATGTGACATATATTATCATTATAGTGTAGAGAGTAGGTTGCGTTCAGCGCTCCGAGAATATGCAAGCTGTATTCTTGCAAGAATGTCTTGGGCTAAATATCCTTGAAAGCTTGTGCCGTCTTTTCGTTTTGCGCTCGGTCTGCAACTGAGTTGAGCATTTTTCACTTGTATGAAATTAAACTCTGTGCTGAATAGAAAATGTGAAGTTTCCTTAGAAAAATGTATGTCTGTGTATGTCACTAAAATAAATGATCACTTCGGTTGTAAAAATATATTAAATTAAATATTTTTGTTATTACGTCGTACGATCGTTGTTATTACGTCGAGCCACGATTTTTTATATTACCCATCCACTCAAATATTTATATTGTATTCATTACTTAGTTGTTCAAAAAAACCTTTCCATTGAAAATTTTATGTATTGATTACTTATTAATTATTAATACTAATTATTAATTTCTCATTTTACTTATTAACATCTCATATAAGAATAATTGTTGTTTGTGAGAGATAAAGTTATGTTATCTTCTCTTAACATTTCGCAAAAGTTTGTTACAAATATTTTATTTGAATTAGGTTTTAATTGAACTCCTCACTAATATTATACATTATATTAATTAAAACGTGAGGTGGCTCAATTCATAGCTTGTTGGTTTGTCATCTTTCACGGCTTAGCTACTTAACAAATTATTATTAAATTTTTCATGCACTGCCATAAATACTTAGAAAAAAAAACATAGAATTCCTTTCATCTTTTAAAAGCTTCTTAAAGCTTCCATTGATAGAAACAGATGATCTTCCAAACTTATAGTTACTTTTCCTGATAACACGAAACCTTTTTTTGTGCTATTTTCTTTACAGAAATTGTTTTAGGAAGGTGTATAGGTTCTCTGAAATAATATGACGAACTTTACTTATACGCTACAAATCATTACATCTCACGTTTGAGCATTAATATCGAGAAGTCACTATGAATCGACTTTGTAAATGTCATGTGACTTTAAACAGGTTCGTAACCAAACCTTAGCCGATTTAGGTATTAAACCCAAAATGAAATCCCTTACACACTCCTTTGTCCTAAAATCTACAGTCGTTGTGTTTATTCTTAGCGTCCGTAGCCTTTTTGCATTACGTTTTATACTGCTATGTGTTCATTTCAGTTGCTATAAAGGACTCGGAAAGTCATGAAAGAACAAGGCTTGTAGTGTATTTTACCATTTTATTAAATAAATTTCGGGTATTTTATCTAAATTTTAATAAAACAATAGTCGAGTAATTTCAAGCCAAAATAGGTGGCCGCAAAATATATGAACTCGATCTTCGCAGAAAGAATAAACTATACCTAGCATATATTATAACAGATTTTAAAGAACTAGTAACTGTTCTATTTGATATTTGATCATCATCATCTCAGCCGCAAGACATCCACTGCTGGAATCCACAGGTCTAACCCAAGACTCTCCAAAACAACCGGTTCCGTGCTGCCCGCATCCAACGGCTTGCCGCGACCTTCTTTATTTGCCAATCATAGTCAAGTAAAAAAATATATATCTAAGCACATGTATCTGCTGAAGAACATGAGCTGGAGAACGATAGGCCTATAGCCATAACTCCTTTGTTCTCTAAGATTATGGAATTCATAATCAACAGCCAGCTCCTCCGGTACTTGAGTGATCACCAGCTACTCAATGACCGACAATATGGCTGTAGTATGTAAGATGACTTGAAATGGTCTGACATGGAAAAGTAAACTGATTTAAAAGTTTCATGTAAAATGTTACTTTTCGAATTGTATTATCCAGCGCTGTATAAAACTCGCTGTCCTTTCGTTTTCTTTCAACATATACAAGGACATCAGCATATGTCTTACATTTTTACATATTTCCCCACGACTTTACACCGTCACCGGGGTTATCCTTAAGGGTACGAGAAAGGAATACTAATGTTAGCCGTTGTTCGCCACAGGAACGTAGGCTCCGCCCACTGGGAAAGAGACTTTGTGGCAATTTTTAAGCGGCATGTCTGAGAAGTTTTAAACGATGTGCCGATTGTATGTAAGAATGTGTTTACGATTCGTTTATAATGTTAGTATGTGACGCGTCAGGTATTTAAAAGGTATGTACTTAATACCTATCGGGAGCGCATTACTTCCTATAAACACAATTATAGGTATTACGGAACGCGATATTTTAAGTTAGTTTATTATGTATAGTTAGATTTTACTTACCACTTGATAACTATAAATCGAATATATTTTTTTTACATTAAATTAAATTTAGTTATTAAATTCGTTAATAAATTCATCAATCACTTATATTGAGACACACTGAATGTTTAAACAAATGTACATATAAAATGCAGCCACTAGAGACTGATAATCTTGCAGGTCAGAGTCTGGGTTGATGCCTACTTATGAATATTTGAAATAACCTGCTCATACATTTAGGTGTTAAAAGAATGTCGCTGTAGAAGTCAGTCACTGCTACAATAGCTCAAGCAGTCACTATTGCGTTTTTGTATCGAAATAGTCTGTTTTCTTACAACTGTCCTATTTATTTTTAGCTATATACGAGTATAAACAAGAAAGCCACGTCTAATCTTAATAAACACATTAAGTTTGATGAAGTTTCAAAGTTTTTCAACAGACAAGACAACTGATACAATGCTGTAATATGTTTCGAAAGA